TCAGAAATCTCCTTTGGATTTTACGATCTTATTGCGGGGGCGCTTTTGCGACGAACTAATGGATGTAACTTCTTCTCCTTCGGATGTTGCGTACAGATCACATATCACGGCACTATGTTGTAATCCACGACTCAAATTGTTGCAGATGCACAATTTGCAATAGGTTTCACCATAGTGAGACCTTGTAATACTAGATAATGACCCCAGTTTTGCTAATGAATACGATTTGGTTCCGTCTATAGCGTGGGAGGCTCGTGCCATTTGCTGCGGGATGGCTTGCTAACGAACGTGAGGCGTACCCGACCACTCCCCAAAGATGCTAAATCTGATCAATGCTGCGCCAATATGTTACCGAATTAGGCTGCATGTAGGTCTACCTACATTCAGCCAAAGACTGCTTTTTTTCGCTATCATCACAACAATTATCCTAAAGATCAGTGCACACATTGGCTTACTCTCTTTCCGTTCAATTTGTCGTAACCCGGTCTATGCACCAAATATCGTCATGAAGTGGGACCGAATGATCTTCTTTGTTTTACGGTTGGGACCTACCGGCATCTCTCTGGTGTTTTGATAAGACCGATTGGTTTTTTTTTACACTTTCATTATACGATTATTAAATAAGTTCTTGCGGCGCGCCTTTATCTATGATCTGAGTCCATTGGTACTCAAAATTTCTATCTCATTGGTCCGAATCCATTGGTACATGGCTTTTCATGAATACTGTCATTTTCAACAGTAAATAACACGTATTTCAACTAAGTGCTTTTAATAATGTACGCATAGCTAAAAAATGACCCGTATATAAATTCGAAATGGTATCAAGCACTCGTACTGGCGAGAAGCAGTACACTACGTGCGACGACCTCACCAATCTCGCCTATTTCAAGTGTTTCATCCCCAACCAATTCCTGAAGCTGAGACAAAATAGAAGTTTTTAAGGCATATGTTAATGCTTTACATATCCACAATGCACTTAAAGTGAGCATTGGGTCCCAAGCGTAGCTGCTCACATCGGCGTCCTATTTGTTGTTTACATGCGCAAGAATTACCACGAAGTCGCTAAATGCGCGAATTGCAAAATGATGTTGTTGAAAACAGATGCAAAACTAGAACACAAGGCCAATAATATATTTCGTGTAATTCTTTAAGTCGGAAGAACATTCGAGCAGCTGCGCTTTTGTTAAACATTTTGCCGCGTCATGTAGACTTTCGCAAATGATGTATTACAGAGGCCGTTCCGATCAAACTAACGCGTTTCAAGCATCCTGGTTGCTCTCAACCACCGCTTCTTTTTTCTCCCTCAATTTAATCCTTATAATCGCTTAACTTGCTTTGATTCTACACAAAGGTGTGTTTATTACATACACACCTGCCACACTATTTTAGTGCGGCTGTACTTTGGGTACATTGGTGGGTTGATGTTATTGTATCGAAGGTGCAATGGGTTCACATTGCAAAAAGAAATCCAAGTGGACATTATACTTAGTCTTAGCATTGTGAATACATATGCTTACATGTCAGTAGACTATAAATACAGATAAATAGTGACTAGCAGTAAGTAAAGAGTAGGTACTCACATGAAACTGCCAGAAGATAAACATCAAATGAGTCAATCTATCTAGATAGCATTTGTTGCTAGAGCCTTTTCTGCCAGAAGAAAAGTAGTAGTCCATGATACTGATCTCATTAGAACGTAATTGTTGCAACCAGAAGGCACCTGCTTGTGGAGCTAGCCTTAAGAGGTTTGTTACCCTCAGACGTAGAACCCGTAAAGCTTGTCTTCCTCTACACGTAGTGTTGAAAGGTGAGCGTCGAAGATGGTACTGGAAGGTGAACACGAAAGATGAGGACGGATTTGTGGTGTCGCGTAAATACCCGTGACAATGCAATTGGCGCCGGTCGTTACATTTGTCATGAATAGTCTGCGCATGTAGTTAGTGAAGTGGGCTAGCACTTAAGCATTGTGAAATGGTTGGGTCAGAAAGCGTAGGACACAAATTAGCTAGGAGGCTAAAACTTGATTATACAGACTCAAGTTGTCTAACTACTCATCAAGTGCGGACACGACACTTAGTGCCTAAGTGGATTTGCTACGTAGCTCGACTACTTTGTGTGCCACAGCCTTTTTGTTCATTTCTTCTACTCAGTGTTTGATTGTCGTGCATCTATTTGAAGCTTGCGCGCATGCGTCAGTGCCATGCGAACAATCTCACATCACCCAATTTTACCGAGCCTGAAGCTTTGGACAACCGACGCCTGCGTAATAAAAATTTATTTTGCCGAATTTTGATTACGCATTTCTCAGCATCCTTTGTCGCGTATTCACAGTTTTAAAAGCTGGTGTTGCCAATGTACTCAGTGTTTAAGACGCAATCTCAAGATTACTCAGGTATTATTAAGGAATTGCTTTGGGTCATAATTATCGACGTTGTCGTCGGTTGTCTCCTTCGCAACAGCTCGCGCGGCTTTATGTTCTATTGTGAGTTCATATTTGATCACATATCTTAATCTAGCTAGAAGTATAGGTCCAACTTTATTGTAACTTTTAGCGCCCACACAACTCTTCCATTCCGAATTTTCCCTCTCGAGTACACATCGTTTTTTAAACTCCCCGTCCCACCCGCCGCTGTTGTCGTCCAGTCTTTTGCGTCTGCTCGCCTTCGCCCCGCCCCGCTTCGACTGTCTCACTCCTCCCCAAAGTGTTGTTGCTCCCGCTCGCGCCCTTTGGCTTACGTTCTCACCGATCATGACCACGCCCCCGCGTTCTTCGCCATCCCCGCGCTTATCGCAGCCCTTGCGCTCTTCGGATTTCTCGGCCACCGCTCTGCCACGTCATTCCTTCCCGCCCCGTCGCTTCGTTCCTGACGACAGTCTGTTCACGGCCAGCTATTCGCTGATTGGTGATGACTCGTCGACTGATGACGATCGCTACTTCAAAGCCAGCACGCAACTACTTACGCCAGTTGAAGCTGTGCAGTGCACACGCATGTGGATTGCCGCGGCACGCTTGTCTTTTGAGCATAGCACTGACGAGATTCTTCAATCACTGGCATAGGACTCTCAGCCAGCCATTTGACAGGCTCATCGCGCTTCTTTGCGCGACTTCGTCCGGATTCCCCACCAGGGGATATCATTTCTCTGCACCTCTGATGCGGCTCTACACTCATTGGATGGTCTTGCGTTGCAGGTGAGTGGTTTAACGGTCCACATCCGTAAGTATTCCAAGTACGACAAACTGTATTTCGTGGATCTGACTCGGCTTCCCGGTGACGTGCCTGATCGCGCCATCTACAATTGGTTCATGGACGTCCGGTACTCATTACGCCGACTTACGTTGCCGGAGAGCTTAAGTCTCACAACCGAACGGTGTATTTCCACGCCGTTCAGTGCCCACCGGGTCTTTTTTTCAAGAATGGCGAGCCGCTTCGCGAGATTTTCTTTGACCCTGAGGACAAGCCGTGTTTTGTGCAGCATCGACTTCGTAAATTCAACCATGTCAAGCCTCTCCACTTCGCCGACAGGCTTCTCCTACTGCATCTTCTAGTGCTGTTGACGATGACGACACCAGCATGGGAGCCAGCGACGCTGGGTCTCTCACTGACTATGGCCCCATTTTGCCTGCTCCCGCGACGTCTGCATTTTGTGCAGCCCCAATTCCAGGCCCCTCGATTTCTGCCGTCGTCCGAGCTTCTCGTTCTACTACTTCGGCCGCCCGTTTGACTAAAAAGCTCTTCATCTTGGACTCGGTCGACGCGACAGCGCCCACGTGGACACTAATTCAGGCTTCTCGCAGGGGTGTTACGACCGCGGCGGGTCCGGTATGTGCTCCGGACGGTTTGCTTCCGTGTTCTCTTGCTGAAGACCCCGCTGATCCATCAGCGTTAACGTACTTTACGATGTTCGACGTGTACAACTCGTACGAAGTTCTCACTGATACTGCGCACGATGATACTCAACCTCCGGACGTCGACATCGCTGCCTATGATGAGCACGGCAACGCTAGTGCTGGATTCACGGAAGATACTCCTCTCGTCTCGCGTCGTGCGGCACGTGCCCTCATGGGCACTCGACAGCTCAATCCCAAGCGTCAGCAACTTTCACCACAGTAATTGGATGCGCTCATCGCTGAATTTGTGGCCAACGATGTAATGAATTACTCGGCGCATGATGATCTGCTGGCGGCTATCCAGGTCAGCCTGCTTACCTACGACACTTATTCTCGTTGCTGGTGGAATGGTTGATCGCACGTATCTTACTCATGCGGTCTATCGTGCTACGCGCGCTATCCAACTTCCTGATGACCGGACGGACATGGTTTCCTTTCTTCAAGTCAATTTTGCAGCGCCAGGGGCTACTCTGGCTCAACTTTTCGACTACGTTTTTCCAGATGACGAGCTCCGCCGTGCTGCTTTGTCCTGGGCCACGTGTGACTTGTTCCTCATGACTTTAGCTCCTGGAGTTTACTCTGATCCTGTGAAGTTTGGGATGTTGTAACCGGACCGTCTCGCCAGTAAACGGCTCCACCACACGCCCTTCCTGCTTTGGAGTCATCTCAATTTACAGTGTGTCACTCGGTCAAATGTGGTAGGCTGTCTTCTTGAACGATCCGCGAACCCCAGACGATGTTCGCCACGCTATCCAAGCGCTCAAGGATACTTCTCTTCCTGCAGTTATGACTGCGTCTAGCCAGGTGGTCCCCGCTCACCTCTAATGAGGCGTGGGATTTTACTGGATATCACTCAACATTAATGGATTACATCACCCTCCATCGACGCTTTACGATCGTCTTCTCTCCACGTATCAGCTGGTCGCGGTTTAAGAGACCAAGTTCGTCAGCCCTGATGCTCTCCAGACAAACGAACATTTCATTTTTGCAGCAGACTCTGGGGCACAATGCTTTTGTTCGGACTCCTCTTCGCCTGCTTTCACGGGACGCCATGGTGTTGGCATTGTTTTCTCTTCCGTGACGCCTTTTCAAGACATCCGCGACCTCACGGATGATGTCTGCTCCTTCCCGCTCATCAACCGGTACATACTTCTTCAAGCTCGGCTGGGCGATATTCCTGTATATATTCACGTGGTCTACGCTCCAGATAAGCCTTCGGAGCGTAGCAAATAATTTCGTACGCTTCCGACTGAGTTTTTGGATACGGTGCTGTCCGGCACCTTGTGGTCGGGGATTTTAACGTGACTTTGGATAGCTATTTGGATCAGAAGGTTCCCAGTCTCCATCATCCAGGATCCGGGCGTGAGGATCTCTGTGCTTGGATGGAAGCGCTTGATTTGATGGATCTGTGGCGCTATATGCACCCGGATACCCGTGATTGTACGAGTCCTACCCGCAAGAACCGCCTCGACTATTGTCTTCTTACCGCTGACTTCGTGCAGGATCATCTAGTTGAATTCTGCCATGTGAGAGACCGACGATGGCATATTGAAGATCATATCCCAGTTGAGTTTAGACTACAGGCAAAGTTGCTACGTCGGGGACGTCAACCTCCGTGGCGTTGTCCACCGTGGCTGCTCAACGATCCCTCTGTTCGGGCCTATCTGACTTTTTCCGTTTCTGAGTCAGGCCGTGGCATCAAGATGTTTTCAGGTGCTTACACGGGGTGTCTTCTCGACGAGCACAAACGCGCGGATAGCTTATACCTCAAGCGGCGGTAATTGGATCTTCGCGATCTATATTCTCGACGAACGTCTGCGCTAGTCACAGCGGTCAACGACGCACACGACCTTCTCAACGCGGCTTCGACTGACCAAAGCCTCGCGGCAGTGGAACAGGCAAAGCTGTTACTTCAGACCCACCTTGGTGCAGTCAAGTCTCGGAACCAGTTCAAGAAGTTTGCTGCGGACTTACACGTTAGTAAACGTGCCACTAGCCACTTCTTTCGGTCGCCCCGGCAAGACTGTCTACGATCTCCGATTACAGGAAATCAGGCAGCCGACGGCTCTATTAGGGACGATCCGGTTCGGATTGCGGAAGTCATCGTCAGCTTTTTTGGGGTCAGCTTTTCCAATCACTTTCACCGGACCTTTATGGCTTGCGCACTGCCACGTACGACCCTCTTCGTCTTGTCGAGTATCTTGGCGCCACGACGGCTCGTCTTACGTTGCGGCAGACTTCTCTTGTAGATGCACCTCTCACGGCCAATGACTTTTACTGAGCAATCTCCTCTTCTAAGAATGGAAAGGCGCCTGGTCCTGAAGGTCTTCCCATTTAATACTACAAGGTGGCAACCTCCTAATGGGCTCGAATTTTCGAAGTCGTTTACGATAATCAGTTGCTTCGCGGTAAGATGGCCAAGTTCCAACGCCGTGCTCATCTATCGTTGCAGTACAAGTCCGGTGATCGCACGCTGCCTGCTAATTATCGGCCGCTAACGCTACTGAATCACGATGCTAAGCTTGGACCAAAGTTTCTTGCTTATCGTATGCAAACAGTGTTGCCGACTCTCATCCATGAAGACCAAAGTGGATTCATTCCCGGTCGTTCCATTCGACACTCGCTGCTTCGCTTTCAGGACCTCCAAAATTTCTGCAAGTTACACCATCCTGATGCCTGCGCCATACTGTTAGATTTTGCCAAGGCTTTCGACAGTGTCTTATGGCCGGCGCTGGACTTGGTTCTCGATCACTTTGGTTTTTGGTCCAACTTTTTGCGCCTGGATCGAGACTTTTTACACTCAAACTTCTGTCAGTATTCTGCTCAATGGATCGCTTGGTGACCCCTTCGTCTTGGAAGCTGGCGTTTGTCAAGGTGATCCACTATCCCCCTGGGTTATTTGTGCTGTTCGTCAAACCCATAATGAATTTTTACGCAGCCGTTGTTCGTGTCGCGGCATTTCAGTGGATCCTTCTTCGGAACCGCACTTACTTTTAGCTTTTGCGGACGATTGCACCGGCTTACTGGAGAATGTGGATGATGTTGACGGTTTCCTTCGGTTAGTCGACGACTATTCTAGCGCGACTAGCCTCCGACTTAACGTTAGTAAAACGTGTGTGATGCCAATGTCTCACCACATTACGCGTTCTAAATTGGAAGGTCTTCGGGAAACTTCTCCTTTCAAGGTTCTTAGCGTGACGAACACGGTGACACTGCTCGGTATTCTTCAAGGCGCAACTATTACCCCTGATATGCGCTTCAGTTGGGTCCTGGTGAAGCTTCGAGCGCGGTGTGCAATTTGGAAGTATCGGGCGCGTACCCTTCGCGGTAAAGTGGTTCTTCTTCGGAGTGTCATCTTACCATTTTTTTGGTACACCGCGAGTGTAACCTGTTTTACTGCAGCACTGTTGAAGGCCGTTGCTGTTATCATACGTAACTTTATCCACGGCAACGACACAGCTAGTGACTCGGCGTGTCCAGGAAAATCCTCCCACGAATGGATTTACACCAGTATTCAGCACGGTAGTCTTGGTCTGACACCGGTGAAGGAGTCTATTCAGGCCATGCATCTAAAGTCGTTGGGGGACGCCATTGCCGCGACTTGCCGTCGTTGCACCGCACCACGATGGATGACTCCTGCACTCTTTCTATTCTCTTTAGCGTTGGGGCGTCACGGTTCCGGGTTCGATATCTTGTATGCTGTGGTCAAGGGTACTTGGCAGCTTCTTCGCCCATTCTGGTATTCCACCTCCCTCCGCCTGTGGACTGATATACAGTCGTCTCGGGGGACTTCGGATTGGAAATGTTTTGTGCAGACGGCGCCTTTTTTGGATAATTTTCATCTTCTCTTTGGCACGACTCACCGCCCTTTGGCCAAGCTATCCAATTATAATGGCTTGCTACAAGATTTTGGACTCTGCCGGCAGCAAAACTTTGTTGATATCTCATCTACGTTCGCCTCTTCCGCGCACTTGGAGTCTATTTTGCGCGTCAAGAACTTTTTTACGTCCCGCCTCCAAGACTCGGTTCATTACCGAAATGATACCGCGTCTCAACTTGATAATTAACCACGATTTGCCTTCTTTTGGTCCTGTATTTCCGTGCTTGATCGAAGCAACGCGGCATGATTGGAATATTGATGGCACGATGGTGGCAGACATGACCAATCGAGACTTTGTCCGTCTTCTCCTCTCGTTACGCACCGGTTCGTCGACCCCTTCGCTTCCTCTACAACAAGTTAATGTTCCCGAGTTTTTACCTTCGTCTGGATTGTGAATCTTGGAGTATAGGCGTGATCGTCATGTTCTTCCAGTCGCCGCCGATGTTAAATTCTGTCTTCAACACAACGCGCTGGGATTCCGGTACAAGTTTCGCTGGCGTACAGAGATTACCACATCCTCGTCTTGCATTCATGATTGCGACGCCATGGAAACCGCTATCCATCTCTTTTGGATTTGCTCTGTCGCCAAGTATCAATGGAATTTTTTCTTGCAGCCTTTTCGAGACTGTTTAGATGGCGACGTCTCGTGGGTCCATATTCTGTTTCCGGCTTTGCTACGTTTGCTTCCGTCTGCCATCATGGTTTTCGGGAATCGTGCGATTCTGATCGTCTTCCATGTTGATTGCTGCTGTGTACTCCGGCCTCTTTGGCTTCATCGCAACAAAAGACTCTACAACCCCGGGACTAGTATCAAAGACACAATTCCTCGGGAGGAATAGCACGCTTAAGCAGTGATGCTCATAGAGCAGGTTTGAAACTGATTTATATTTATGTTTATCTTCTAACACTAAATATAGAAGCACCTACTCTATACTTAATGCTAGTCACTATTTATTGACTTTCTAGCCTATTATTATGCAAACATGTATAGTCACTATACTCAACTAAGTATAGTGACCCGATGCGACCCTTCGTACTTTAGGTACGGTCACATCGAGCCTACTCTTGTACCCAAGGTACAGCCACACCACATTGGTGTGGCAGGTGTATATGTAAAATACACACCTTCGTGTAACTCTCTTCCATAAATGTAAGAAGTATTAATTCGATATCGGTACAACTCGGTATAAACAGCTACTTGTCATTTGTATGTCTTCAATTTTACTGCGACTGGTTTTGGACAAGCTCTCACATCGAATATAAGTGCAGCTGAGACCGTGGAAAGTGTGAATCGTCTGGCCACAGACGTTATGTTGGACAAAGCAATACTAGAATTCCGTCAGCTGATTGCATCAGCTTTGAAGACGCTCCAACTGCCGACCGACGCGTTCAAATTAGAAGCAAACTCGGATATTGACATTTCGAATCAATTCCACAATCTTGGACTCGATAAGCTCAAACAACTGCCCAAAGTGCAGCCCTTAGGAAGCATCTACAGCTCGGACTTGGCCCTACGTTTGTTTTTTCACTACAAGAAGGCGGGAGTCGTTACCGTGCATACGAAATTTACGTCGAGCAATTCCGAGATTACCAGTGTCGATTGTCCACGAAAGTTGGCAGCACTGTGTGTTGATGCTCTCACATTGGAGCTTGATCGATGGCAACATTGCCATATCGTCCGAGTGTGGTTAGCTGAAAAAGAAGAGACTGCATTGGGCGCGTTACCTGACAGAGTTTTGGTGCAGATCCGTGAGTTTGCCGAGTGCAAACGTAGTAATGCGATCGACCTCACCCTAAGTGCTCAACTACCGCTAAAGATATTGTTTCGAGACGATGCTATAATTGTACTCGATAAACCTGCCAATGTTCTAAGCGTAGACGGCACCGACCCAGATGCTCCAACTTCAGTTCATCGCTGCATTGCAAACGTGTACCCGGGAGCGCGAATGGTGCATCGTCTCGACCAGGAGACGTCAGGTCTGCTTGTCGTCGCGCTGACCAAGTCTGCCGCTCAGAGTTTAAACGCGCAATTTCGGGACCGATCAGTCAGGAAAACGTATGTGGCACGTCTTCATGGATGGATAGATGAAGAGATTGGATTGCCGAGGTGCGTAAGAGTTCCTATGGAGAAACATCCAGTCCAACCGCTTGTACAGCGTGTAATTTTGGATCGCGAGGTTGATCCATCGAGTTCGCTTTGGTCGCTCACCGAATATTGTGTGCGATCGCGTGATATTACCTTGGATGGAACTCAAACTGGAGAGGATCATAAAACTACAATTGTAGACCTTACACCAGTAACAGGCAAGACCCACCAGCTTCGACTGCACATGCAGCATCTAGGACATCCTATTCTAGGCGACTCATTGTACTCTCCAGAGCTGGTATATCACCGCGCCTCGCGTCTATGTTTACATGCTGCGGAGCTGTCATTTACCCACCCAGTTACAAACGAGCGTATGAGTTTCAAAAGCTTGTGCCCCGCTGACTTTTTCACCACCAAGGCAAACGAAAGTGCCATGAATGAACGACCTTCTGTGCCTGCAAAACCAATACAAGGCTGAATGAGTACCATATGACGACTTAACAGGCAAATCAACTGTATGAGACCCTTAATTGAGTGCTAATACTGTTGAACACATGTGGTCAAGCAGGAACTGCTACCAACTCGTTTGGTGTGCCTGACAACATGACGTGACGTAATGATAATAATGAATCTTATCGAACAACGCCAGCGCAATGCCAGAGCGGGGATAAGCATCTCCTCAATCTTCCATCAGGTCTTGCTGCCGCTGTCGAGTCAAGTGTTGGCAGATGCTGTAGAATTGTAGAAGTATGCACTTGGTCCAAAAGAAATAGAAGTAAAACTGCAATATATTGGATGGTGGCGACATGCATACACTTGCACTGCAACTTGAACAGATCAAGTTGCACATGGCACCTGCCCGTCATCATGTGCTTGTCCCACGTAACGCCCGTCTTTCCTCTTCCTATCTGTCAGTTTGTCACCATATTGGCTCACAAGGTGAGGTTGCCCTTTACCTGTAACAGGTCTAGCACTTCAACTTCAACTTCGACACCCTCATGACCTTCCAGTGTTTATCTCCTGTAACAAATGCTGCCTCTAACAATGCCTAATACGCTCGCTACCTTTGACCCAATGACACAACGTTTGTAGACAAACGATAGTATATTCACCTCAAAAGGCGTGATACGCTGAGGGTGTATCCAGATTGATGGAGCTTGAGTTGTTACATCGATGGCATTCTAAATGACGCCAAAGACGGTCGTCATCATATGAAACCATGAAGGAGCGTCATTCACAAGCCGCTTGCAGACCATAACTAGCGGGTGCTTGTGTCGTTTTTGTTTGCGAGGCAGCAAAAGGCGGCCCTTCCCACGTCTCATCGTACGCGAGAGATGACGGTTTACCTGCTTCTTTATCGTCAAAGGGTGTGTGCCTTTGTTAGCTCGTCAGCTGCCTCGCTTGCCCACTATTTATTGCGCTCGTCCATTCTTTAGCCTGATATAAGGCAATAGCAGAGTGTAGCCAACCAAGGCCTAAGGTCATATTGACAAATAATGATCAATGATATGTCACAGGCTCGTTCCATTACCCTGCGTCATTGTGACCGCGTTTTCGAAGAGCACGAATTCACATTGGTGAGTTTGATTAATGAGTTCTGAGCAAAAAAGCCGAGCAAGTCAGTCACTTGAAGCTTTTCAGGGCTATGATCTTGCCGTGCACCCTTACGTGTTGTATCAAATCGATTCATTGCTGATAGATCAGAATTGTGGCAAAAGGATCCAGCTTTGTCAGGAACAATGGCACAATGCACTTGTGCACGACTCTTCCATGGTATGCAAAATGGAAGTGCTAGAGCTTGTTTGGCTTGTGGTATACAATAAATGATGCATGCTTGAATTCGTCATAACAAAGCTGACTAGAGAGCTTTTACCTTGTACGTTGTTCCTCTTTGTTCTTCGTTTGTTTCAAATCTAGTAACAACCCTGTACGTCACCTCTCTTACAGTCCCAATGAGCACAAAAACATTGGCTGAAAGTATGAAGACCCACTTGGATCTCGTCAGGACACTCACGAGACTCTCGAGTGCCTTCCACCGGTCCGGAAATACCCTCAATAGCTGTAGGATGGACATGTTTTCAGCCACGTCACAAAACGCTGCCATCCCCGGTAGTGTCCACACCAAGCAACGCTCCGGCCAGAGACGACGCAAGATTCCTGTTAGTGCCGTGGAATAGATCAAGGGGAAAAGCAGCAAGTCAAATGCATAAAAGTCGACATATAGTGCTCGTCCAGAGACGCCCAAGCACTCCAAATGCGGGTAAATAGCGTCAGGAAGGAGCCAAAAGATCCGGTCTAAGACGCCACTGCATTGAGGTGGTAATTCTCGGTCCCATTGTTTCTCTAGCAGTATTAACAGAACAAGCGAAGGTACTAACGCACCAAGCCCTGCTGCAAACACGTGCGATTCTAACGTCATGGTAGTTGCTTTACCTCTATGAAACATGATAGATTGTTATATATAATATTAATAAAAATATGATTTCAACAAAGTATATCAGGTTTGACAAGTCGATCAAGTCAGTCAGTCAGTCAACTCATTGCGTCGTTACTGCGTCAGTCAGTGCATTAGCCAACCCTGGCTCCGTGTTTGTATTTCCTGTGGACAGCTTTGTGGCGCTGCGTGATGAAGCTCGTGTCTCCAACAGTCACATCCTCACGTAAACGTAATCAAGAACAAGAGAAAGAAGAGACGATTCCGAAACAATCAACACTGTCGTGTCTTGACGTCGTGCCCGTCGTCAAGCGGCGGCGGTCTTCGGCCACGTCAATTGAAGAACAAGATCTGACGATTCAAGAGCAACAACAGCAATTTACAGTTGAAGAGCATCAACATGTTCTTGATGGTGCACCTCAGACGGAGCTGTTTCTTGTCACGATAAAGATGAGAGACGAATTAAACGAGAGCGAAGACGTTACGACAGAGACGCAAGTGCTGGACAAGTTGCTGTTACAACGTGAACAGCACAAGCAGACGGTGGAAGATGTTGATGTTGCCTGGGGTCATGAATTTGCAGCTCTGGATTCGTTACGACGGTTTGCTAAATACCATCAGGATCAGGCGAGGCGCCAGTTGTAAGAGGACGGAGCTCTGTCAATAGCTTAAAAGTAATGGTCGTGATGTTTTCTTACGTGTTTACTCTTGTTATCAGGGAGAACAATGTCTTGCACAAACTGGTACTGCCAGCGGCGTCGAATTTGCGCTCGGCGATGGCTAGAAACGCGCTGCTATGTGTGCAAGAACTTATTCTTGAACTTAAATTGGAGACAGCTGCGCATTTTGACGTCATTATTCCTGTGCTCCTGAATCGCGCGTGCTGTGAGAAGCAGTTCTTGAAGGACTTGGCGAGACAAGTGCTGGACACGGCGCTAGAAGCAGGCGTCGATGAGGAATTTCTCAATCCGCTGTTGGCAACTAGCACAACTGAGAAGAATGCGCAGATTGTTAGCGTGGTTTGTTGCGGCATATCGTATGTTATCGATTGCTGGGTTGTTATCTGACGTGGATTATTGGTGAACAGGCTGGGTTATATGTGACCAAGTGCATAACCCGGATGGACCACGATCTCTTGCGCACGTTTGTGCTTGAGAAACGTATCTCGTTGTTTGACGAAATGGTGCTGTTTTTTAACTGTAAGGTCGTAGAATGCAAGACTGCTACTCGCCGAAGCTGCCAGCACCTACGCCGAGTCATTGGGGTATACATTTTTGTATAATTATCTTTAACTGATCGCTATGCTCTTGGACTAAAGCTAACATGCTGCTGGTAACTTATCCTTGTAGAATGAGGAATTTATATCACTGGTCAAGGAAAAACTGAGTGGTACAGCGCTATTGGACATCTTGAAAGCTTCGGAAATGCGGACGGCAGTAAAACATGGGCAAGCAAAGCCGAGCATTCGCGAACGTATGCTTCAGCTCAAGAAGCAGCAGCAACAGAAGAAGGTTCAAAGCGGAGGAAATGATATTTCGGTCGTTGTTGTTGCACCCGTGCCTCCTCGATCACGGTCTTCATCAGCGCAATTGCGGCCATCGTTATGACCACAATATGGATGGACTATTCGCTCTAATCTTCCTGTTTGCTGTAACTGATTGTGCCGTATGCTGTGTTTTGCTGGCGTTTAAGAAAACCCCACTATTGCGATTGGGCAACGTTGATCATTCTAGTATTCTGCATGGGGATTCGGCTTTGCTGTATGAAGCAATAGCAGAGGGTTGTACAATGACACTCAGATCAGCCAAGAGCTGGGACAGCGCTATCGGCTATACTCATCATTCCTGTAGCAAAACGAGCGTGGTGTCTTTGCCGGATAGTACTGATTTTACGAGGTGCTAGTACTGACGACATTCTACAGCCTTAGGTATAACATCATCCAGAAGTGCCCGCTCATTCATAGTATGCCTTGCGTACTGCTTTTGGTTAGCAGTACATGTTCGTGTTACAAACTAGACGGGTCGCTTTGGGTGTGGTTTATGCTGAGTGTTATGCGGAGAGACAACAAGACAAATACATTTTACTTTCATGCAGGGTGACACTATGGCGCATAATCTCTGTATACTGAGGTGTTTGAGAAGTACACGCCGGGTCATGCACGTGCCGAACAGTTGTTATGATGAAGACTAGGATCATTGGTCTTGAATGACTTACATGTGAGATAGCAAGGCCATATTCACGTCTTTCGTCAGATAATCGCCGTGACAGGTTATGAGTTTGTCACCGTACTCAGCATCTGTATGATTATTCCTTTCATGTATCATGGATTCCACCGTTGAATATCAAGAAGCTAGATAAGTAAAAAGTGTCGTCGAGCATACCCAATATGTAAAGATGAATTCGACGGCCTTCCCCCTTCTCGCTGCTACCCCCTGGTAGACGACGTCTGGCTGACATCTACCTCTCGCTCATAAGGCACCTCTGCAGACCAGCCTGAAGCTCGTTCTTACGAAGGTGAAGGCCGATGAAAACCACTTGCGTCACACAAGTCTCTGTACCGTTCAACTCACTTTGTGGCCAGCGTTCTTCAGACGGGTACACCTCAAACAGCTCGTGCACAGCTTGCAATATGAATTTGTAGGGTTCACCTGCAATGGCAAGCACACCCTTTACGCGAAAAATCTTTTGACGTGTGGCCACATCACAGCCCGGCTCAGTCTTCCCACCTACATCTTCATCCCAGAGCAATTCCCCAAGCCACCTCTCGAGTTTATCTTGATTCAGTGCTCCATCTTTAATCCTTACACAAGTGGTCTGCATACCACCTGTGTGCGTGGAAACACTTGACTGTTCGTCCTTGCACTCATCGTAATCACGTTCGTCCTTGTTTTTGTTTTTCTGGCGCAACATTTGCAATTCCGCTTCCACCTGCTTGGCTCGATTTGTCGTAAAGCTCTGAATATTCAGAATCTCATCCAGATCTACCCTTGATCTTTCAGTCCACTTGAGACTAGCAATACCATTGATCCTTTGAATTCTCTCTTCAATCTCTAGTCTTGTTTCTTCATCGTCTACTAAATCTCGTTTATTCAATAGAATGCGATCCGCATAGGCCAATTGTGCCTCTGCTTCGACTTGTGTCTCTAATCGAGTCAAGTGATACAGAATCCGTCGTGCATCCACAAGTGTAACAATCCCATCCAATACAATTCTTCCTTCTAATTCATTATCCATCCAAAAAAGACTCGCAACTTTTCCTGGATCGGCCATTCCTGTTGTCTCAACTAGAATATAATCAAACCGATCACGACGTTCCACGAGTTTTTCCAATGTATTTACTAAATCATTACGTATTGAACAGCAGATACAGCCATTGCTTAACTCGTAGAACCCATCCAGAATCTCTCCATCCAGACCGTTCTTTGCCACGAGACTCTCGACCCCAATCTCTTCACCAAATTCATTCTCAATTATTGCAATACGTTTACCATGATGGACGGATAAAATGTATTGTAATAAGGTCGTTTTCCCAGCACCTAAAAATCCAGATAAAATTGTTACCGGTATGACTCGAACAGGAGAAGTTGTTGTGTGCTCGCTAACTGTCGTTTCTAACTTGATCATATTTCTAATGAGATTGATGGATGGATGGATGGATTTTGGATGTTTGATGTTTGATTCACAGGAATGATGTTCGTTTTTTGTATTTGAATGACATAAGTCTATTAAAAAGCAAAAACACAAATAATAATGTCGTGGATGTAAGGTGTACCACACCATAAACAAACGTAAACGCCCGTCCAAAAGGTCTGACATTGTTAAAAAAACGAGATCTCAAGGAGAGAGAAAAGGGGTTTTTGTTTTGTGACAGATTGTGTACAATATGGTCAAAAAAGTTGGTACGAACGTGTATACAAAGTCTATAATACATTAATATCGATAGTATTATTGAATGTCTCATGTATTTTATATGTATCTTTCTATAGGAAAATATGAAATTGGAAAGACATTAGGTGAAGGAACGTTTGGAAAGTAAGTGATTTTGTATGGAATAATATCGAGTATCAATGATGATACTAATTGATGCATCTCTCCTCTCTCTCTATAGGGTCAAGTATGCAGTAAATACGGAAACAGATGAGCGTGTGGCGATTAAAGTGTTGGATAAAGAAAAGATTCAGAAACAAAATATGGGCGCACAGATTAAAAAGGAGATTTCTATTATGAAAATGGTGCGACACAAACATGTTGTTGTACTGAAGGAAGTACTGGCTAGTCGTACCAAGGTGAGCTCTTTTTTGTTTCAAGAGAGAGATTGAGATTGAGCTGTATTTGGATTATATGTTTGTAGATTTTTATTGTGCTGGAGCTTATTACGGGTGGTGAGCTTTTTGATAAGATTGTGAGCGAAGGAAGGTATGCCTATTGTACCAGAGACTGGAGACTGTATGATGTTTTTGAGATGATACAATGGATATGTTGACTCACGACTTGATATTGTTGTTATTGCAATCATAGATTTAGTGAAGAAACAGCGCGCTTTTACTTTCGTCAACTTGTGGATGGCGTGCAGTACTGCCATGAAAACGGCGTGTGCCATCGTGATCTCAAGCCAGGTCAGTCGTTGATTGTTTCTTTCTTGACTACTTTGACGGTATGATGAAGGACTGAACTTGCTTTCTGCAGAAAATCTGTTGCTGGACGACAATGGAGATTTGAAGATTTCCGACTTTGGCCTATCGGCTCTGTACGAAGGTGGTGGTCCTGATGGTCCGGAGAGCTCGCGTGCGTCGCTACTGCACACGACGTGTGGAACACCAAACTACGTGGCTCCCGAAGTTCTTGCCGATAAGGGCTACGACGGACGTGCTGCTGATGTGTGGTCGATGGGTGTGATTTTGTACGTGCTGCTAGCTGGTTTTCTGCCGTTCGATGAGCCAACAATGTCAGCACTATTCCGCAAGATTCAAAAGGCCGAGTATTCGTACCCGAGCTGGTTCACTCCGCGCGTCAAAGCGTTGTTGAACCGCATTCTTGTTTCCGATCCAGAAACACGAATTACGATAAAAGATATTCTGCAGGACGAGTGGTTTGTGAATGCACACGGTGCCGACGAGCAGGAGATTCCTGCTACTGGTACTAGCACAATTAGTGCGGAATTGGCGGCAACTCCTGTGCCAAATCCTGTTGACCATATGACCATTAAACCAAGCCAGGCCGATTTGGATGCGGCCATCCTGGAGCACCAGGACGAGATTAACTCTGGCAAGAGGGACAAGTTAGACGGAGGTCTGAAAGTGCTGAATGCGTTTGATCTGATCAATATGTGCGGTGGAATGGCTCTCAACCGCATGTTCCAGAGCAATGACGAAAAGCGAGTCAAACGGGCGACGCAGTTCACGTCCACTATCCCGGCAGCGAGCATCATGACTCGTTTGACGGGTCACTTGGAAAGTCTTCACTGCGAAATTAACGTGGAGAACTCTTCAAAGGTGAAGGCCGTGTTGCAAACACCCAAGGGCGCTGTTGGCGTGGTTATTCAGATCTTTATGCTTGCGGATAGCCTTCACTTGGTGGAGGTGCGTCGTGGCAAGGGCGACATTTTCGAGTATCATAAGTTCTACACTCAGCTGAACAAGCAAATGGAGGATTTGATTGCGACTTTTGGTGATTGATTAAACCTTTCCTGCGAGCGATAGCAAGTATGCATTGTGCTGATCCAATGACATGGTAGTGCAGCAGCATAAGGGACCCTTCGGGATTCTTTATTCATCTTTCTTTCTTGACATATAATGAGAATACACCGATAGGCTATTGACTAGTTTGCTTGCGACGTTAGACGTTGTGTCTGTATTTCTGCAGACTCATCCTACGCATTTTCAAACAACAATGTCAGACTCAGTGCTTAATCCGCCGCCAAGGCCTCTTCCAAGAGCGAATCCACCAATAGTGGACATGATCGACGAGCCAGCAGACGAACTCAAAGCACCTAGGGCACCCTGAGACATCAGTGTCTGCATTTTCTGCTTGGCGTCCTTCTTGCACCTCGTGTAGCCAATGATGTTAGCACCACTTAGAGCCACACCGACGACAACAATGAGAGCCCACTCAACGTTGAGCTTAAGTATAGCTACAATCAGTAGCATGATCCAAAGTGCCGGTGCACCGTAAAGTCCCGTCCAAAAGACGCGTGAATCGAGCGGATCAATATCCGTCATGTCTTCCTGGGACTCAAACACCCACTCACTCGTACCATCTTCATTAATCTTATTCCACCACCGTAGCCCCACTAGTAACCGTCCAGTCACATTCTACCACAAACAACACCAATAACAATAACAATAAGTACATACCAAGTGAACCATCAAAGGAAAGCAAAAAATGCTACATCAGACGTAAGTAAATGATATCAACACACACTTTAACTGTCCAGAAATCAAAGGCCAAGAGTAAAATGCAAATGACAAACAGTAAAATAAAGTTGCTGATGAAAATACTACCAAAGAGGTATAATATCAACGCGAGACCCTGTTGCAAATATCATAGAATACAGTCAGTCAGTTAGTCAGTTGGTCAGTACATGCAACGTCATTCGTTCCTTCATTATGGATAGTAGAAGACAATAATGATAATAACCTTGAAGAATAAATGAAAGAAAGACGCGACTGGATGTTTTGCAGCAGTGACTGCCTTTCCAATGGATGTGAGTCTATGTAGCATATAAAAACACCAGGTATAAGACCAAATGTGTCCATTGACTACTACTAATTCATCTTGCAATAAACAAACAAATAAACGTACAGAGCTTCTTTATCACTGGGTTTTGGATGCACAGATTCTTTATCATGTGAGGTCTTTGGTGCTGCTGCTGCTGCTGATGATGATGATGATGAAGAAGAGGAGCCAAGGTCTGGTTCAACAGTAATAAACTCAAGTTCTTCTTCCTGTGGTTTTTCAATTTCGACCATCATATTAATGCTAGTATTAGTACGATGTATGCGTCGATGGGTTGTCAAATGGGACAATCATTCAAGGACAATTGCTTATTTGCCGAGTGGTATGAGTTTTGACCAATTGAAATCATGTCCTTGTCACGTTCTGTCTGTCCCGTACGAACTGCCCTATTTTGTCTTGGATACGTGAACAATGGAGCTCTTGGTGTGAATACACGAAATGACTTCAGCAATAAAGGGTGCGACCGACAGCGTGACAATCTTGGGCGATACTTCTCCTAAATTAGTAGACACGGGGATTGTATTAGTGGTCACGAGTTTGTCCAATTCCTTGCAGTTCTGTAGCGTTTCCATGGCCTGGAAAAACAAATACACCACACGTCAAACATGCGCTATGACACATTAAAGCATCAGGCCACTAGCAATGTATTGCAAACAAAGCCACAGTTTAGAACGTACATGAGCAGAGTAGCGAGCGTGTACAGCAAAGGCTGATACAGTCTTGGCACCATTGGCTTTCAATACCTTGGCTGTCTTCACCAGGGTGGACCCAGTGTCGACCAACGTATCAACGACAATACAGTCCTTGTCCTTGACGTCACCCACCAACTCACCAGGCTGATCTTTATCAAGTTGATGCTTCCGGATTACAAACGCCAGTGGCACAAATTCGTCGATTGTTCGCGACAGAGTGTCACGGAACACGACCGCCCGGTTCACAGCAGCCGAGTGTGGCGCCACAACAATCGGATCACCTAGATTCTGCTCCGAAAAGTACACGGCACCAACAGGAAATGCCCGGAGGTTGTCAACCTATAATCATGAATACATAGCACAGCGTATAGAGTCGAATTCATTTGTATAACTCTCAGGACTTTCAACCACTACCCAACACGCCATACCGGAACTTGCGGCTTGAAGAAACCCTCAATCTGCGCACTGTGAAGGTCCACGGATACAACGTGGTCCACGCCCATAGTCTCGAGCATGCGTGCGATATCCTTATGAACAAATCCAGTCAGTATGATATCTACAATTTTAGAGTCCTTCAATATAAAGTACATACAGCAGCAGCAATTGGCTCGCGGCCTTTGTGCATCAGATCCATTCGTGCATAGCCGTAAAACGGAATCACAGCAGTGATACTCTTGGCTGAGGCACGACGCATGGCGGAAATTGCCAACAGCAGTTCCATTAACCTAGCAATAGCAACAAAAACAGCAATGAGTTATTTTCTACCTCAACACTGAAAAGTATCTCTAGTTGTCAATGGTGACTTACCGATCCACTGTTATGGTAGAACTAACAATATAGACGCGTTTACCACGCACATTCTCTTTAACAACTACGCTCGTTTCTCCATCATTAAAGTTCTTGACCTCCATATCATTGAGTTTAACGCCCAAATAATTGGCAATTTCATCGGCTATAGGCGTATCCGTCACTTTAAAAAGCTTCATGGATTCAGCAGCACTTGGATTCATCTTTCCTTTATAGAAATGCCAGTGTTTTGTGGTTGTATTTGGATACCATCCATCATCTTCTTTTGATATCTTGCACTTTTCTTTTCCTGCTTCTGCTAGAGCCATCGAAAGCTCTGATTGAGACGTCAAGCTACCACCAAATAAACCCAAGGCACTTGCTGTAATGAATGCCAATGCATTACGAGACCTTGAGCCTTTTAATGGACGAAAATATGTCTATAGTAACAAACACACACACAGACAAGAATAGAACGAGAAAGATAAAGAGTGAGAGAGAGAGACTGGATGATGATACAATGAGTCTACTGCTAGTGTTGATTGTTACCATTAGAAAATAAATGACCATGCGAGTCATAAAAAACCATTGATATGATGTGGTGTACATTAAACAAACAAGGAGGAAATAAAGAATAATGTTGTCCACATAAAGATCCATCTGCGACGTGTGATAGCGTACATCTTGTATACTTCGATTCAAAACTCGGAAAAGTCTCGTACTTCTTAAACGATTGGTCTCCATTTGAATCCTGTCGTGGAATTTTAACGACAGAACAATGGGAGACAAGAAATCGGATATGTATGATGTTAATTGGCAAAAGATATGGCCTGATCGTATGCCTGTGATATTACGTGATTTAGCACCTACAAATCCTTTTAATCCACGTAATTTATGGCCTGAAGAACATGAAGAAGAGAGTCAAAAAACAATGATAAATGATGACTCAATGACTACCACCCCAACAGCAGCTGCTATAATATCAAAAGATAAGAAGAAATCAATGACAAAAGAAGAAAAAAGCCTGATACATACTACAGTATCTCCTGGTACTACAAAGTTAAAGAAAGCCGATTTAATTCGGATGCAATTAGCAAAGAATAAAGCTCAGAAACAAAGTAAAGTCGATGAAGAAAAACTTGCAAATGTGAAAAAGTCCAAGAATCTACTTGAAATGAAAATGGTCACGCCAACAGGTCGTTTAAAACAATTATATGAGATTTTACGTGATTGTTGCAAGAAAAAAGAATATACAGATGCAGTGGATACATTGTGGGAAATTCAACGCACGAAATTCATGCCTGCACGCTCAATTAATGGTCTAGATGGACGAAAAAAGCATGAAAAACAAAAGAAAATGGATGAAGAAGAAGACGCCAAGCTCTTGGCAGAACTCAATGCTGTTCATAAAAAGTATCGGAAATACGTAAAGATTGTCAATGAGTATTTAAATGGTAAAGACTTGATTGAGTGGCAACTTACAGAAATGTCCGATCGGCTACCACCTCTTAATATGCATCACATGAACAAGTTTATCCTCGATGACTGGCAGCGCACAGTATTGTCCCACATTGATCAGAAGAACTCGGTTATTGTGTGTGCGCCCACAAGTTCTGGCAAGACAGTGTTATCGTCCTACGTGTCGGTAGTAGGAGGAAAAGTGCTGTTTATTGTTCCCACTGATCCGCTTGCGTGGCAGGTAGCAGCGCTGTTCCAGGCGATGGTGAAAGGCTCTGTTGCTTTGATAACCGAGGGAACGGTATTCCTACCGCCCGGGTTTCGTGTTGCTGTCGGTACGCCTCGTGCTGTGGAATCTACGCTCGTTGACATTGGCTATGACTTTCAGTACGCCGTGTACGATGAGGTCCACGACTTGAATGGGCCGGAGGGTGACGCGTTGGAACGTATCATCAAGGCCGTGACGTGCCCTTTCTTGGCACTATCTGCCACGATCGGGAATGCTCAGAAGCTAAAAAGCTGGTGGGAGTCACACCTTGCGCACAAAGTCCACTTGCTTGAGTACAAAGGCCGTTTCATTAACCTGCAGCGCATTATCTGGTACGAGGAAGAGGCAGCAGAGGAGGGTGCCAACAAGAAGCACGAAATGGTGTATTTGCACCCTTGCGCTGGTGTTACTCTGGATTATCTAATGACCATTGGCTTTGATGCTGGTGACCTGGCGTTCACTCCTCGCGACGCGTTCGCTTTATGGCAGGCTATGGAGAAATTTTACCCAGCTGAATTGATTGCAGACGTAGACCCGCACAACTTTTTTGAACTCGAGGATGAGACTGAAGCTGGAACTGCGGCATCTGTTACACTGCAGAAGAAGGACAAAAAGTCAAAGAAGGACAAAAAGTCGAAAAAGGACAAAAAGTCAAAGAATGATGATGACGATGAGGATTATGTTGTTGACCTTGGCACACGCACTCACCGTATCACGCTCACGGAGTCTAAGAAGTATGAAGACAAGATCAAAAAGTGCTTAGAGGATCTCGCTTCGAAGGAGCCCAAGGCAACGCAGTCGCTTCTTGACTCTTTTGCGCCTCCGGCAAGTCTGCAAGACGTCACTGTGGCGTTTCACGACCCACGAGACACTAACCCTACCGGTTCGGTGGACGTGCACGCTCTCGTAAACCAGCTTTGCGCCAAGAATCTTGTTCCCGCCATTGCGTTCCAGCTTGATTCGGTTCGATGTCGCCAGCTTTTCAATCAGCTTTTGGCGTCCATTGAGGCAGCTGAAACTGCAAAGTACCCGAACTTTCGTGAAAAGGTACAGCTTGAGTACGCAGAGTGGGAGAAAAACCAGGCGGCTATGAAAAAGCGTGAGGCGAAGGTGAAGGCAAAGGGCAAAGAGGAAGATGACCGCGAGTCACAGGCATTTGAGGAGAAGCCGCCTCCCGATATTTATGCTCCTCACCCCGATTTTGTGTTGACTCCCGCGGGTTCCCGTCTTACTGCCACCGAGTTCAAGGAAATTAAGTGGCAGTTGCGTCGTGAACTGTCTGAAGACTCCGATGACGGACACGCGCTGGTGCGTTCACTGCGGCGTGGTATTGCTATTTACAACCAGAATCTGCCCGCGGCGTACCTCCGTATTGTGCAGGCGCTTGCCCAGGCTGGTCGTCTAGCGGTTGTATTCTCGGACGACTCGCTTGCCTACGGTGTAAACATGCCGTTCCGAACGTGTTGCTTCTGTGAAGATACTGCGGACGACGTCTTGACCTCTCTAATGGTCCAGCAAATGGCTGGCCGTGCTGGACGTCGAGGTCTAGACAGACAGGGTAATATTTTGTTTGCTGGTCTGTCGTGGTCCCGTATCCAATTCTTAATGCGCGGTCTGCTGCCGGATGTCACGGGCCGTAAGTCTCTGTATCCGACGATCGCTTTACAGAAGTTGCTTTCGAATAATGTCATGAGCGACATCATGCAGCGCATTGTTGCCCACCCGCTGGATGAGTACATGGTCAAGGACGCTACGCCCTCGTCACCGAAGAAGCAGGATTCGTACTTGACTAAGTCTGTGGAATGGATGACTCACTTTGGTTTGATGAAACCGGAGTACAGTCTAGCAGTCGATGTGTCTGTTGCTAAGCTGGTGTGGGAGTGTCGCGATGATCCGTCCGAGGCGATGGGAATTTTCTGGATCTTGGACGCTGTACTGAAAGAGTTTCACCACAAACCTGGTGACAACATTGCACTTCAGCTCGCTCTGTTTAACATGCTGTTGCGCGTTGTTGGTCGCGAAAAGTTTCACCCGGAGTACGCTCATGGATCGGAGCTTGCCCCTCTTCCTGGACAAGAAGAGGTTTGGGAGAAAGTGTCGATCTTGCTTCAGTCGTACGAAGACAAGCTGAATGAGCTGGGAGAGAATGCACCACCGGAACTGCGAATGCGGGTAGCTCTATCCGATCCGTTGGACGGCTACGTCTTCCGTACTGTCGTGGAGAATCTGATTCCGCAAGGTCTCGGTACACTGCAGCTAAATCAGATCAAGAAACGTCTGCGTCATGTGGGCGATCGTTTGCGTTTGATGCACAACTTGCTGATGTACAGTGGACGTTACGGTGAACTGGAAGAAATCGTGCGTAAGTGTTTCCGTCGTATCAAGTGGATCCTCACTGATTCGGAAGTGTAAGAGGCTGGAGTGAGGCACGACTGGTCTATGGTGCTGTCAAACAACAAGGATTTGACGAAAAGGATAATGTGAGCGGGTCAACAACTAGTGTCGATTGTCTTAACGTGCAGAGGGAATCGAAGCAAAAGTTGATTCGATTGCAATGAAGCAGCTAGTACTAGAACAAGTGTTAAAAGGACATGAGCATCCCAGTAGACTGACTGACTGACCTTGCGACTATAGCATAGGGAAAACACACGGCGCTATTATTGACTGGTCCATTTGCCATTATTCTAATCATTTTGGTATCGTAATCACTGTATTTTGATGTACTGTACACTAAATCCGTGTCCATAACCTCCATTATCCATTGAGAGTATTTCGCAATCACTCAATCACTTAATTACTTCATCACTCTCAATCATGCTACCAATGATCAAATTAGGCGGCCTTGTGGCTAGAACATTAACTAAACCATTAGCACGTATCATTAAGTCACGTTCAAAGGGACATCCTATATTAAATGCAATATGTTATCGTCTAGGACAGAAACAACATCATATGAGTATGAAACTTCACATGGGATTCCAAGATATTTCAACCTATACAATCAAACCTTTACCTGCAGATAAAGCAGTTGAACAAGGTGCAGATTTAATTGGCGAGTTATTAATCTTTTCAGTAGCTCTAGGTGTTGCATCATTAGAGTATTCACGTTCAGTTGCTAGTACACGGGTAAAGGAAGCAATACAGAAGGAACAACAGCTACAAGAGGAGCAAGAGATGGAAGCACGTTTCCAATACTTGGAAAATCAAGTCACGTGGCTTGAGGAACGATTGGATAAGGTGACAAACATTTTGGAACACGAAATGGGTGAAAGACTTGAGTTTCTAGTGACGCAGGCTAACCAACGCATGGAGAAACAGCCAGAAGGAGATGAGACCTTGACACTCACTCGAAGGCGACAACAAGATCAGAATGTCCATGTGGGCTTTGAGATTGATGAGAACACTGTGGCTTCCTCATCCGTTGCTAAGGTCTGGAAGAGCACGTACAACGCAGTAGCAGGACTATTCAAGTAATGATGAGGTGGGGGTTACAGTGCCAGAAGAGCATGTACTATGTCATCATAGATCAAGTATACACGCTCTTTTCTGCTCTTATGCTGGTAATCAGACCAAACAATTGCTGCCAAGAATAGGAGCCTTTATCCTGCTACGAGCTCCTTGCTTGTTCTTTCGATGGCCGCCGTCTCAGACGTCAAGTCTGCATGTTTCTGCTGTACTGGATCAACTTGTTATTGTGTGGTGGCATTTGCTCAGCTTTTACTGCGTGAACTCAATGTTGGCTGCAGTTAGAAAGCAACACAAATGCAGTGGAGTAGTTGCGGACTTGGACAAAAACAAACAGGAATATGCTGAGAAAGTTCAAGCCTGTCATCATTTGCAGCAGATGGCAGATGCAATGGCATGCCACACTGTGCAGACTTGACACTGTTGATAAGATGCAGCTCTTCCTATAGCGTTTTTTTGAAGGCTGCCGGTGTGCTCACAGCGTCCTGTTGATCATTGAAATAGATCGCTTGCAAAAAAGTATTCAGAGTGGCAACTCAATCTGGCTGGCTCCTTTTGGAATGCGAGCTTCCTGTGTTTGTTACGAAGCGAAAGAGCTATTGCCTTGACCATTCTACCCTCCGCTCATGTTGAAGCCGCATTGCGTGGTCTTGCTTCTCGTGGCCAGCGACTTTATTCTTTGCCTTTCCTAGTTGATTGTCGAGTGAATGGGGGTTTGTTTGACCGCAACTATCTCCAGCGTCAAGTGCTAACTTCAATGCTGCGCTAGAATCTGCATCATGAGCACAATGTTTCATACCGCTAAAAGCATTCGATTTGACTGCGCGCTCACCAAATACAAATTCCATGCTACCTCACTCTACAAGACTTTGGCACCTTATGGCTACATCCACACGATATAGATATGTCATGTCATTTCACAATATTTCATGCCACCGCTGGACAAGCATAGCGCAATAGATATATGACAACCTTATTCAATGACGGCTTGCAGAAAGTACTGGGTGACGAGTGTTGGACGATCACCTGGAACATTGTTGCTGCGGTGGCTTCATTTATGAGTAACACCGTTTGGTCCAGTAGACTCGCGTTCGAATTACGAAAGCTACATTCCTTCGTGGTTTTAATAATGAGAATAAGATCATCAGCAGTAGTAGTGGTCCATCACACATTGCCAAGGAGCCACGTAACTAAGCTCTGCAAGACCGAGGACAGCCTATTTGCGTCGTCGTGAGCCGGATGTTATCATTGCTTTGATACGAACGACCAGGATTTGCATCAGCTGGGTTGCGACCAGATCAACGAGTCGGTCCGACCCGGAATCTTTTAACCGAATGCTTTCCCACTCGTGTCGCGCACGAAAGTCCATCCCTTTTCCATAGATGATCTCACCACACTGCGAGCACCATATACATCGTAGACGCTAAGCATATGAGCCCACAGCTGTGACCGCGCCAGCTTCAAAGGCGCATGGCTGTCTCCATTAATCAGCAAGAGAGTGTGTTGTAGAGACATACGCACAAATACATTTTTGTGGTCATTATGAGCGACTGTACATCTAATTAGAATGGAATGAAGAGCAAATAGAGCAGGAAGGGATACGTATGCCGTAGTATGAATATGCTAAGACCTCGCTGTTTGTTTATCCTAGTTTATAGGTAGTGTGTAGAACGGCTAGAGCCATCGCGTGCCTTCCATATGCCAAAGATAGCTACACAAATTGTCGATAGCTTTCTCCATTTAGATAAATCTTGCAGGTCTAATATTGTCGTGTCCATTGCACTTCAATTAGCTCTGCTACCGTCCCACGGCACCTGAGCAGCACATCCAGCTGTTTTTGATCTTGACTATGAAATCATGAGGGTAAAGAAGCCACTGTCTTGGTTTTGTACATGTCTGTCCAGAATCAATCATAGCAAGCACAGAAACTGTCATGAAATGTCGTCATATGTACATAAAGCGCACTATTACATTATAAATCCTTTGAAGTGTAAAAAGTATCACGTGGGACCTTACACACTAAAGCCAGAGCATTTCAATTGATCCGATGGATTAAAGAGATTGTTGCAGCTGGGCAGGAAATTGATGCAGGGACGCAAAGTTGGTATTGTCGCTGCTATACATCACGAGCGCAACGGGTACAGGATATCGATCTCCTTCTTTAAAAGTTGTTGAAATAGACAACAATCCTTGCTGGATATCACCGTCTACAAGAAATGAACAAGACTTGTTTTTATTAGGCTTGTCAGCTCAAGTACCAGACAGTCGCGGCCGCCCTCAGACCGCTATTCGTTCCGGCTTTCATAAAGCGCTCCTTTCTTCGGGCATGAATCACGTCTTTTAATCAGAAATGAGCCAGTGCCACAGGACCAGTTCGTGCTCACTTGCAATCCGTGTCACTTATAACTTTCCTCTGTAGCTCACAAGCACACTCTTAGAGCCGGGAAATACCGTCATAGCAGATTAACACGCAGCGTGGTTAATCCAGTTACCGAATGAGCTATCTACCCCGTTACATTCCGCCCATTTACGTGGACTTGAACATGCCGTCCACGCCTTTCAAACAACCTGAAACTCCAACTGCACTCTGCTCACCTACCAAATGCAACGCCAATCACAACGTCCAGTAGTAGTGTAGAACCCCGCCCAAGCCGGACTAACTCCCTCTTCCTGGACCTACTGGAAATCCCACTCACGACGACCGACCCCAACACGGATGGGCTCAAGGGCGACTTTGACAACGTGCTTGACATGAGCAACGGACATGACACCCCAGCAGGTGCGCAACATCCGATCTATCAGCTTCCAAAGAGCCAGGATAACACACCGGATCAAAATGTTACCAAGAAGAAGCAGAGGAAAAACCCTGAGAAACACGAGGGGGAGGTTGAGACTTTCCCCACTGCAGTGTTTATCAACACGACCATCTCCGCCTCGCGGTCAGCAGGTGCCACCTCTGTTGCATCGAATATCAGCCCACGTACTCCAACAGTGGTAGCCCAGCGTGGTGGTCGAACGTCCCAGTTTTCCGCCAAGCAGCGCCGCGAACGACACAATGCCAACGAGAGACGACGAACGAACGCTGCCAAGGGCCGTGTCCGCGACATGCGTGACAAGGTCATGACTTTGGGGCGTCAACGCGCCAAGTTGACTGCGCAGCGTGATACCAATGCCTCCGCAAATGAGGTGCTTCATCATCGGAGGCCAATTGAGACTGTCGTACCTCGAGAATGTGTCGAAGGCTACAACATTCCAGGAAGCTCTACATACCTGGACCTTATCAAATTTGCAGATGAGCTCCGCGAAGAGAAACGGTACCTTGAAGATCAACTAGATCAGCTGGACTTGCAAAACAGTGCTCTTCAAGCGGTACAGACAGAGCTTCTCATCGATGCCACGGCATCCCTGACTGCAGGTAGAGCAACAAGGATCCTTAAGCGCAAGCGCGTCGAGGTCGATGAGACTATTGACACTGGTTCAGACAGAAAACGCATGGCTCTTGAGTCATGCGAGATCGACATTCCCACTGGTGGTTACTGCATCGAGACGGAATCCGTTCCATCGTACCTTAACGTCCTCTTCTCTGAACCAATGACCAGTGATGCGGCGTTCAACTGGGTCAAAGACAGCTATGGTGACATCATGGCCCTAAAATCCCAGCAAAAGCCCGTGGATACTGCTGCCACGACGGTCCTGGGCTGGCGTGAAGATAAACGAGAAGTGACAAAGGCTAGGGAATCGGACGATGAGCACTCACTCAAGCTGATGCTGACGCAAGATTTTGTTGGCATCTCATCGGGCGAACTTGTCTTCAGCACGTGGAATCTTCTTACAATGCTCCAATCCTTTCAAAAGCTTTTCCCGCTGACAAAGGACCTGGCCATTTTGCAGACAATCAATGACGACTGTGTCGTTGTCCGTGTTGGCATTGCACCGTCCCATGATGCGCCTGTGATGCATAGCATCGTGGTACTTGCTCGTGGTCAAATTGATGGCGGGTACTTAGTGAGCATGCGGTCCATACCGTTATCAGCGGGTGAAAAGACATTTGCTGCTCATGAGGGGACGTACTTACCAGTTCTCGCGTGGTTCATGCTTTTAGACAAGTATGACGAGTTAGCCCAGCCCATGTGTGAGGTGATTGTTGGGGCATCCACACAGCACAAATCAGACTCGGTCTTGCACCGACTTGCTACTGAATTCGTTACGGGTTTAGTGCGTTGGCAAGACACCGTTACTCAGAGCAAGCATTGGATATTCTAAGGTAGTATGTTTCAACATATTTAACTGGTAGTGAGTAAAAGTGAGAGGGCGGGCGTATTTGTAGATAGGTTAGTGTTTTCGGTAACTGTAAGTGCTAGCAACAAGCTTCTAAATAACAATCATGTCAAGTTTTGCATCTGAGTGGGTTTCAACTTGTTCCTGTATATGCTCTTGCCAGCATGCGATCGTCTAAGGTGCCGCAAAAGCCATCACTCAGTTGCCACCTGGTAGTTGGCGGCTGAATTTAATATGATTTGCTTCAGGGCTGCCTGCCATCTCAATAAGTACACCCAAGACTACAAAAATGCTAATTGCACAACGTTAATACATTGAGTAGGCTTATGACATGGACTTGACGTATATAAAGTATCAGGAAAAGCTAGAGAGTGTAAATGGTCACGAAAAATAGTAGAATGTACATCTGCGCCTGCTCAACTAAATATCATGTGGCGTATGTAGCATGGAAATCCAAACTTACCACCGCAGTAGCCCCCACGATCCACTTCCTCAAACTTCCATGCGCAAAGCTATTTCAAGTATCTCAATAGACCACCACCCTGTACTCGCAAGCGCTGTGCCTTCAATTTCGCCACCAAAAGTTTGCTTACAGTCAGTACGATTTTCACCCGCGTACTCATAGAAGCTCCATACAAACACGTCAAGCCAAATATTCTCTTTGTGAGGCTCTATCTTCCGACGTCCACGGCGCACTGGTGCTGTGCAATCGCCGTCAAGCTGGAGGTAGGTCTTTGGATCTAGGCTGCGGAAAATGACCATACACCCTTCCGGCCCTAAATCAACACGCATGGCCAAGATAAAAGCACGAATCCGAACGTCAGTATCCTCACGCTCCAGTGTGTAGTAGTATACAACTGCGTCCTCATTCAATCGTTGCACAACATGGAAGTGAGCTTTTGCATCACGCGGACGCATGATCACGATCGGCTCTGGTAATGACAGGATCTCCCAGATATTACGAGCCATCCAGTCCGTTGCCCGGCTTTGAAAAGTTTTCTCTAGCGAGAACATGAGTTTGTTCTGACGCAAAGCATGTCGATCCCGCCAGCCTAGCACGCTCGTGTCTGTTGAAAAGCAAGTATCGCTCTCTCGAAACGCCTTTATCTCAAAATACGACTTCCTTGCAATCTCTACGCACTGTTCTTGTGTAAGAAAATTCACTTTGAGCACGGGATTCTGCCGTTTATATTCTTGCTGCTGCTCAGCCATCATCAGAGCCTTCTCCTGAGCTGCAACCAACTGCTTCATTTGTTTCTCCATCTCCACATTACGCAAATAAAGACGTTTGAGCTCCTGATTCTCTTTAGCCAAGGCGCTTTTCATCTGTATCAGTTGCACATACGCGTGATGGACAGCACGACTGGAGTCACAAGTCGTGGCAGTCACAGACGTCGGGTGTGCATCTCGTTGGTGGAAAATTGCTAATAAGCGCTCATATTCTTCTTCTAATGCATCCACATTTCGCTTGAGATTGTCTAATAAATTCTATAGAGTAAACAAACAACAGAGACAAATAGAGAGATCGATGTTAATCATCATCATCCTGTACGAATACTATTTGTCAAGCCTTCCCCCGACCCGTTTTTTGTGGTATAAACGCTTGGCTCGAAGACGACTTTTAGTACGCTCTTCCGTATCGACTATTACTTTCTGTAAATCGCTCGTCAAGTCGTCTGACAAGTTAGGGAGCTCCATGATTAAGTAATACTGGTTCTAGGCTCTTGAGATTCTTTGAGCTATGATAGTAATTTAGAACAAATGTAGTACTACGTCAGGTAATTCTTGTACACGTTGACAATGGTGTATCGACTCTTGCAGGTAAAGCATTTTTATACTTAAACGAAAAGATAGTCATAACATAAGAGTACGTTATCCGTCATCACATATATATCATTAATGTCTAGTACTGCTTTGTGCGAGCGAAAGTAGGTGACCGATAGATTTGTCGCTATTGTCCAACTAAATTAGCTCATCATCAACTGCAAGCCCACGACACGGCTTTCCCACCGCAAATGCAGACACAGAATCTCCATTGCCATGAAGTTAATATCTGCTCGAGAAGGATACGAGAGGTGACCGCAAGAAGTGACCAAAAAACCACCGTCCTCTTTGTATTCGTACCGCTGCCACACTGTACAATCCATCTGGCGGATATTCTCGGACGTCGCGGTCAGCGGCACATCAAGTGAGCGCACACCCAAAAGAAATCCATTCAGCGTCTTGACTCGGAATAGCACAGCAACTACGCGGTCCACGCGAGTCGCGTCGTAGTTGGCAATATCATACATGATAACAGTCTCCTTACCAAATTTCTTCACAAGCTGTGCCTTGATCGCGCCATAGTAGATGCTTGACACGTTCTCGGAGCTACTCACACTGGCCCACGACTTCTGCATCATTTCGTGCATGTTCACCTCCTTGGGGTACTCTTTCGACAGACTGTAGGTGAAAACGCCGTCCAAAGATACGACGCTCTTGTACCCCCAACCGTGCTCACCCTGATGATCTTTAAGAACTTCACCGTCCATAGTGTGGTTCAGCGCCACGTTCATGCCGTCTGTCACGGCTCCAGCACATATTGATTCCTCGATCAAATGTCTTAGGTGCTCTAATTCGGCACAACCGTTGCTGTTTTCTTGCAAAAGCAGCAGTTCACATCGTTGCGCACAACTTGTCGTGTCTATCTTGAGCTGGGCATTCTCCTTGGAAAGGCCTTGGATAACACGCTGCAGCCTCTCGATCGCGAGCACAAGCTTGATCTTTTTTATGCTTGCACCCGACACATTCATCCAGCGCGAGTAATAGATGCTGTTGAGTGTGTCCACTTTGGTGCGCAGCTTGGCCAGTACGTAATCGACAGGCCGACCGTCGCTTAGGCTGATTCCAGCTGACAATGCTGATGCTGCGGAAACGGGTTCTTGCTCTTTGTAATCGGGCACCACGGCGACATTCTTGAAAGGGTCGATGGTCTCGAGAAAAAACGCGGTCATGGCGGCCTTCTCGTCCACCATGAACTGCTCCAGGAAGGCATCGTCTGCACCGATGGGGGACAGCAGCATGCTCGTGGTGTCGGTTCCCTGCTCCATGGAGGTGTCGACCGAGTCTTCGACGACCGACTGCTTGTCACCATAGATAGAGATATCCTGGATCTGGATGGTGTTCTCATCAGACAGGAATATTTCTTGGATCATGTTGATCTCTTCAGTTGTCCAAGAGGCGGTGGGCGGCGCTGCCCACTGCGGCGGTGTTATGAAAGAAGTATGGCTTGCATTGGAAAGCAAGTTCATCAATCTTTTTTCTCTTTAGAGCGGGAGGACCTAGCTAGATAGGAAGCGACGCTCGAGCTTTACTTGGCAAAAGCTTAACTGCTTGGCATGTGCTGGACTTTCGTTGACTCCACGCAAAGAATAACATCGCCTTCGCTGCAAACGATACGGCTGCACTTGATGAGGGCGCTGCTCCGAACCTCTTTTCAGTTGCCGCTTTCATATAAACAGTACTGAAGGCTTTTTGCAATGCAAGCACGGACCGAAGATATGAGGCAAAAACGGACGTAAAGATTCGCAGCTCAGCAATCAGAGCCATTCCCTATGCGCAGAGCGACATGGAGCTCAAGTTACACACGCTGCTTTTACAACAAACTTGAAACCGTATGAGATTAGCAAGCAGACGAGGAGTGTTTACGCCACAGACGTAGGACGTCTTTGGGAAACCTTGAACTGTGTCGGCAAACACGTCGAAATAAAGCGTGCAGGCGATCAACAAGCACCGGTGACTGATAGAGCCGCCGCACAAAAGTGCTGCGAGTCTTTCCGCGCAACGTCCAGAGCTCACCCCATGCCACCACTCATTGACACGGCACCACTCATTGACACGGGAAAGCCTCTTGAGCAGAGCCGCTCCATACAGACATGCAAACTACGTCGGCTCTATGTTAGAGCTATGTAAATTACAAGTTTAAAATATCTCTAGTATTCCAACAAGCTCATCAGCATAAAATTGGTCGGAACAAGAACCGTGAGCTCCAACAAGTTGCCAAACTTTAATATCGGTGTCACAGAGAATGAGGTTTGTATCCGTATAATTGTCCAAGCGCAAGCGCATTCTGAGTCACGCCTGTCAAAGCCTGTCAATGCCTCAATAAACGTTCGCGGCACGACATTGCTCCTTTTGCTCAAGGAATGGACATGACAGATTCTGGATTGCGCAACAGCTGAAACGCTGACAAGAAAGCTGCTGATTTCCCGTGAGCAATGACGCCGAGTCTGCATTAAACCTTCTGTTTGCATTCTTGCAAACCCGAAGTATTCGGCGTGTCAATTGTTGAGAAGATTGGTTGGGTATTCAGTTACTTACCGAATGTGTCATTCAGTGAGACAGAGCATCTTTGTATTTTCTAACAAACGCATCACCACTTGTTACGCTACTCAATTTACTTCTGGCCAAATATCGTAAAGGAATCGACAAGTCAGGTTATCAGCAATTGTGGACATAAAATATATTTCAAGCCACAATGGACTTACTGCGTATAGCAACAATAGCTAACTACGTGTATATGAGTAGCTGACTAGTAGGTAGTGGAACCGTCTCACTTGCAGCGAAACGTTTTACCGCATATCAAAGGCGGAAAGAGTGGGATGAAGGTGACTGGCGTCAGCGTGGAGGCCTGGCCGTGCACTTCTTCCGGCCTTTTTAAGACTATATGATGAGTGTTGCACTGTCATACGATGTCCAACGTAAACACCAAAGTCAACTCTTGTCTTTCCAGTTACCTATCGGATAAGCACGACATTAGAAGCAAGCGCACTGTATCACAAAAAGCCGTACCGCTTCTTTTAGAACGAGTTGCTACTGTGTTAGGCACGCGAGTCTCCACGATATAACGAGTCAGACAATGCTTTTTTTTGTGAAAGTTAGAGACCAATGCTTTCTGTGAAAGACGATGCTGGGAATAGTGACTTAAACTTCTTGACGACCACGGTGCAGGCCATATGCAGGACATCGCATGACCTTCTTAGTAGTCTTTAGAATATCACAATGAAAAGATTTGCTTTACACTTGATTGTTATGAATTGATGATGTGAGACAGAGATGGTTACGTTGTGTGCTAAAAATAAAATTGTTTCATTAATATCATATACTCCATAAATGATTATTATTATAAACAGGTTGAAGAGACCTATGTCATGAACATAAGCAAACCAGCTGGTTTCGGTAAATAAATTTTATCCAATTGCATTCATACCAATATGCGCCTCAAGGAGCGTGATCTCCTTGTGCTTCTAACGCTAGTAGCGCTTGCTAGTGTCCGCAGTATCGTGACACCTGATCCTTCATCCGAAGCCTCATCGGAAGCCTCATCTATATCAAAGATTAATGATAATGTTGACCCTTTAGTTGTCGATTCATTGACCTCTAAGGTGCAGGAAAAGACGTCTGCGGAAGATGCCGAGATGGTCGCAAATGCTCATGTCGAGGTCTCCTTCAGTCCACAGCATGTCACAGAAATTGATGAACCTATAGGAGATCATAAACTTGCAGACGAAGATGTAGACCCTCTTTTGGATGTTCCTAGTCGTCTTTTTGAAGTTGTAGACGCCGATAGTGTGGACACCCGCAAGCGTCAGAACTATGCGTCACTGGACGCTGGAGCTACAATTCTTGATGCATCACCGGATGCAAAAAGCCCCACAAACCTTTTGGTTCCTGACAAGGATCGTTACATGCTCACACCGTGCTCTAATCCCAGAAAGTGGGTCGTTATCAGTCTTTCGGAAGATGTGAGCGAGCGACAAAGATAGAGGAGAACCAGTGACGGTAATAATTGCTGACGCTCTTTTCTTTTCTTTTTCATATAGGTGCATGCAGACGCGATAGCAGTAGCCAATTATGAAAAGTTTTCATCACCTGTGAAAGACTTTATCGTACTGGGTAGCGTCAACTACCCTACTGACACGTGGCTTGTACTGGGCAACTTTACGGCTACACATACGAATGGTGAGCAAATTTTTCAGCTGGACGCGCAACAGCATGTGCGGTATATCAAGTTTCGCTTTCTATCTTATTATGGATCGGAGTACTACTGCACAATGAGTCAACTGCGGTGCGTGCTTCACTTTGTTTCGCAACATCGTATAGTGTACTTGAGTCTCACTGTTGCTGTAGGGTATTTGGCCGAACATTTACGCAAGTGATTTCTGAGCTGGAAAAAAGCATTGACGCAGAAGTAGAAGCTCTGGATGTTCTGACAGCAAGACCAGCACCTCCGGTGTCTGCTTTGCCCGATAACGCCAAAGTCTCCTTGTCGCGTATCTCAGACCCAACGGAGCTCAGGAGTCAGTGCTTGATGGAGCAGAATAACACTGTTGTGGCCGTTTTCTTTGACAAACAACAGCAGATTGAGTACTATCGTAACCATGGAATGTGTTGCATTGACGACTACACCCCGAAGCGAATTGAAGCAGAAGCTGTTGCCAACGAGCATTTGCCCGACCACGCTGATGACAGCGCAGCAGATGACGCCGTCCAGACTGCTAGCACTGTCCCAAGCACAAATGCGTCAAGTGTTCCCGAGATTGTTGGCTCTGGTGTCAATAACACTACACCCATCAGTGGGGCAGTATCAGCTTCATTGCTACCCGCTGCTCATAGCAATGCTGTATCGACCTCACAAGGCCTTGGTCCACTAGAAAGTATTTTCGTCCGCATTACGAAAAAGAGTAAGGGCGTGCTGACATTAGCTTGCTTCGGGTCTAAGTCATGGATTATTTGTTTGTCACGTGTAAAATGCCTTTAGTTCAAGCCTTGGAAGCAAACCAGAGTGTCATGGGAAAGCAATTTGAGGAATTGCAAACGCATCAGTGGGCAGCCATAAATATGCTGCAGGTACAGTCTGAGTTCATGAAAAAACATGCTTTCGTTTCGTTTGACAGCCCTGCTGATGCGATATGTATTTGCTGGTGCTATGTTTGTAGTCAAATCAGGAATCGGTGAATGGTCAGCTAGAGGAGATTCGCACAATGATTGGAGACCTGGTAAGCTATGGTATTCCTTTGTGCGAGTGGTATGCGCGTATCAACATTTTTTGCAATCTGCAGAAAGAAAACGTAATAAATGAGCTGTCGGCTAATGAACAAACCTTGCTGAACTATGGTCGGCTTCTTGATGATGTCCGGCGAGATAACGTTGCTCTCTGGGTAAGTCGATAAATTCACAGGTGAGGTTTAGCTGTGGTATAAACACATCGTAATGACAAGGTCCTTGTGTTGTGCACGTGACAGAACGAAATGCTTATGGTGCGTGAGGTCATTACAACCATGAAAGCAGGCATTCTTTGTGCCATCATCCTGTCTGGGTTCATCATTTTATTCTACCTCCTTCGTCTCCTGTTTCGCTGTGTTTCCAAGTGTAAGGAGCGTGCTGATCTTCGAGAGTGGTTCTGGCGCATGGAGAATCACGAGAGTAACGTGTGCGATACAAGTACGAATGCATTAATGGGTACTAATATAGCTACTGGGGCTTTGCGCGTGAACCGAAAAGCGCAGTTCGGTTCGTCTTGGGACGACTCAGCGATAGAGCGAAAGACTCTTGTTAGTGACATGGTTGGTGATGGTTTGCACAAATTCACTCACCATCGAACGAAGAGCTCAAGTCAGTCGTCAAAACGTCATAGAAAATGAATCAAGAATAAAGCGTACGCTCACTTTATCGTTTATAGTCGTATCAGCTGAAATGATGGTATCGTAAGTCACCAATATGCCTGCTCTCTCAGGAAGCACGAATAAGTGTAACCGGGTTACACGAAGGTGTGTATTGTACATACACACCTGCCACACCAATGTGGTGTGGCTGTACCTTGGGTACAAGAGTAGGCTCGATGTTAAAGTCGCATCGTGGCAGAGCCACGTGGTCACTATACTTATTTAAAGTATCGTGACTATGCATGTTGCATACTAATAATAGGCTATAGAGCCAGTAAAGTGAAGCCTAAGTATAGGATAGGTGCTTCTATATTTAGTGCTAGAAGATAAACATAAGTATTAATCAGTTTCAATTCTGCTCTGTAAGCCTTACAGCTTAAGCGTTCTATTCCTCCTGAGGAATTGTGTCATTGATACTAGTCTCTTTCAGACGCGGTTGTAACAACCGATAGGCACAAGCTTACGAGCTAGCCTTGGAGGGTTAAGCACCCTAAGACGTAGAAGTTCTCTGAGCTTGTCTTCCCCTGCACATAGTGCATAAGTAGCTTTGCTACAGTAGTCTGACTACTTCTTCTGCACATAGTGCATAAGTAGCGTAGCCATAGTAGCTCGGCAACACCTGGTAGCACTCGTAGTCAATCCCGCACCTGGGTTTGACTACTTCTCTGTGCGAGAATAAACATCGATGAGATGTCAGCAATTGGCCTGTCACAGGCACAACAGGAAGGGTGCAGAAGCTGCTCCTATCCTTTCCGCCAAGCGCGTGGAGTACCTCATCGCCCAGGGCGAAGAAGAGGTTAACAAGCGTATTCGTATGCTTGATGAGTATGATAAAGCTCTAGTCGAGCATGTAAAGGCACAGATGCCTTCTTCTGCGCCTTCGCCCATGGCGACTATGGCGCAAGAAGTGATCCGCAGACCAAAACCCATACAAATGGAAGTCGATAAGCTCGACGGCAAGAAGGTGACAACCTTATGCTATGGTTCCGACAGGTCGAGTCGGCTATATTTATAGCCGACATCACCTATGAACCGTACCGTGTTGGCTTTGCCAGTGGCAAGTTAGGTGGCTTAGCCAAACAGTGGGCATTTACATGTGGTGCATCACTGCAAGATTTTTTTCCCACATGGGCCGATCTGAAAGTTTAAATGACCTGACAGCATGCACCGCCAACCCAAGCACATCGTAATCCGTCGCGATTTTTGGCGTGTCGCCAAGGCAAGCGTGAGCTTGCGGCATATGTGTGTGGTGAAGCGTTTTAAGAATTGGTAGGTCAGAGGACCTGTGAGTCAAAGAGAAGGGGACCCGCCAAGGAGGAGCGACCGTTGGGTAGGGACAAGGAGACGGGGCGCTAAAAAGGACGGGAAACGACCGTTGGGTGAGGAGAAATGTACGGTTAAGCGTGCTTATTTAGAGGAGTTAACCGCGGTTAGGCCGATGGACCGCGGTTCCTCGAGATGGACCCCGGTCTTACAAAGTAGGCTCTGGTCTATCATTGGTAGACCTCGGTTTTTCATAAAGGTAGACCTGGCCCGGTCGGTTGACCCTCGGCCCCCCGGTCCCTTGGCTTCCCTGGACTCTCGTCTTCCCTGGACTCTCGGCCCCTCGGCAAGCAGAATCAAGAATCAGGTCTCGGGGGTAAAGATAGAGTAAAGAAGTTAAAAGATAGGACTTTACTAAATACTACTCAATTTGCGATCTACGTAGCACGCCTCCGTCGTGCTTCCAAGGTCCTTACTAATTCTACCCATCTGTTTCGGGAAGGGATACATTTTGGCCCCCCGTCGAAGACAGTTGTGTGGTAAGACCCAAGTGCGAATAGAGCCCCAGGATATATTTGGCCTGTGGGTTCGTCTGAGTAGCATTCCCCAATTTAACCCGCTATCGGAAGCGGTCTCCTTACCCTAGTGTTCCGGGAGCAAGTAAAGGACAGGCGATTAATATCTGAGATATTAAGGAAAAGGAAGGGAAAAGCCAGGGTTAAGAATCTCCCCTGAAGAATTAGTTATAAGTCCACCCTCGACCTAGTCGACCGAGTGGCCACCTACCAGCCTACCGAGTGAAGTATATCGACTCGAGGCACTCCAAGGTCGACCTCTGTCATGGCTGACATCACATCTCAACCAAGTCCTCCGAAGAGTGCAACTTGCCAGCCGACGGGTACACAAGGTGAGAGAAGATCCACACGCGGCATCGGGATACTCCCTTCGACAGTCGGCAGTCTGGCACAGTGAGTGGCTTGGGGTCTATACGCAGTTTTGAGAACCCCTCCACCATAATGGTGCGCGTGCCCGGATCTTCGGAAGACACGGGATATCATCGCGAGTTCCCAAGAAGATGAGGACGTTCAAGCAAAGATTGAGGTAAAGACCGAAGAGTCACTGGAAGACCGATCGCCAGTGACTACACAAGAACACAACAAAGGATCGAAGGACCGACCGGACCTTGGGAGGGGCCCAGTAAATATGGTCAAGGTTGAACTTATTGAAGAGAAACCGAAATACCCTCTTTATGTCCTCGTCGAGGACACCTTGGGTCATGATATTCATCATGCCCCAGAGGACAATCAGTCGATGGTAAAAAACGATAGCCTATTGTTCCCAAAAACTAAGAGCATACAAAAACTACAAAAAAACGATCGCCATGTCCAAGTTGACCAAGATCCGGATGAAGGCACCAGGTGAAACCAAGTCGGTAGGCCCCTCGACCTCCGGACCCTTGTCCTGGTCGGATGCTGACGTGACCATGGCCTACCATAGACTCAAGATTGACGCATTCTTGGAGAGTGGCCTCGTCACCAGAGCCCTCAAGATCCGACTGCTGGGTCAGCTCAGTGGACATGTGTCGACCCTTCCCAAGCTGAGGACGGTGACATACGCGATCACCGGGCTCGTGATCCTTCTTCGCGAGGTGGGTATGGTGGCAGGAAGGTTCGAGCCTAGAGACTTGATTTCCCTGGGGTTCAACAATATAAAGACCACGTTAAAAATCCTACACAAACGTCTGGGTATCTTGGTGGGAACAACCCCAGTACTACACGACTCACCTCCTGCGACCGCCGCAAAAGCACCGTCTGACGACAGCCAGATGACCCTGAAAGACATCTAGGTCCATCCTCGAGAGAGCAATGGTCTACCGAGGGCCCATGGTCCATGCGAGGTCTATCACAGACCACCTTGCCTCAGGGTCCTCAGGTCCCTGCAAGGCAATCATCGCGAGGGTCGCCCGTCGCTAGTCACGTGGGCCGAATGCCACTAGGATCGACTGGCATGTCGCTGCTGCAGGCCCGAGCGGAGAGCGCGGACGGCGAGCAGCAAGCTCACGAAACAGCCACGTGTGTACAGCCAATGGAAAGTCGGGTTTCTGATAGGTCAAATTTTCAACCAATCAGAAATGAGCCAAGGCCAGTACCGAATTATGCCTCGTCACGTGACGAAGTTGCCCGGGGAGGAGTGCCTACCGACCCGGTAGGTAATTTACAGGCATACTTCGACGTGGAGATGGCAAAGTTCTTACAAGAACGCCGAGTACCGCAAGCACACATCGATGGAAATGCGGCCAGAGGTCGACAGAGGCGCTTAGAGGTCAACGGCCCAGCTGGGTCCAAGTGCAGGTATGCAAGGTGCAAGAGACCAAGGGATGACCGACGTGGAGATGGGATCGTTCGGTTCGTGCGAATACGACCCAGACGACATGGATCTCGATGGACCTCTGGCGAGGATGGCCAATGCCACCCTGGGACAGGTGCCCAACATGGTCCCTCGTATCAAGCTCTCAGCGATCTCGGATCTCAAGGATTTTCATGGTAAAGACCAAAATGAAGACCGAGCACGCAGGTCGGTTTTTCACTGTGAAAACCGCTTACGAGGGAACAAGCAAAAAAAGGGGAAAAGTCTCCTTTTTTTGAGAATTATTGGTTGGTTCTCCCCAAAAATTATTTTTTTCAACAACTCCCCTTTTTTTTTTAAAAATAATAAAATATTTTTTAAAAAAAAAAAAATGACAGGTTTGTGGTTTCGGGGTACCAGTGGCCCGCCAATATTATCACGCGGAGTAAAGGTCGGACGAATCCCCGCTGGACTACCTATACCGTCTAAATGTCATTGGGCTTCGAGCGAAGATCAAGATCAAAGATGGGCCGCCCAAGATTCAAAAGGAACATGTCGAACACTACATCGAGACCTTGGACGACCCCGACCTGGCGGACTAGCTGACCGTGTTACGTTTGGCTGATGTGGAAGATCTGGAGGATGTGCTGAAGGCGCGTCAACGGACGAAGGCTCGACGGGGCAAAATGTTGTTTGGTTCGAGCAAGTTTTGCCAGAAAGCACCGATTCCCTCTGAACGGCCAAGAGAGTGGAATCGCCGCTCTGTCCATGCATTTCGAGCGACCCAGAAGGCATCAACCTCCGAAAACTCCAGTTTGGACGATTCTGATAGTGACGGTGACCTACGGAAGGTCTACCTTATGGCCACGGAGACGGAGAAGGACCAAGGACCAGGGACCTCGCACGGTGTCGGCGACCCCAAGTGCAAGATGCGCCCATTGTGGATACAGGAAGCATGAAGATTTGGGTTGTTGAAAGAGGCTGACCTGCGACCGCTGTGGAAAGAAGATTCATTCATCAGATCGTTGCCTGTTCGTGTGTCTAGGCTGTGCAGAAACCCACGAGGTTGGGAAGTGCCGGATGGAAGAGTTGTATAACTTGATCCGTCAGTGGTACAACCCGACCAAGCACGCTGGGATGTTGCCGGAGAAGGTCAAGCAGATGCTAAACTAGGACGATCGCCAGATCTGAATCTATTGCGAGCCAAGCGTTCTAGTTGTTGCAATTTGCATCTGTGGAAAAGCAGCCCAAGGGAGGAAGAAACATTCAGGATAACTCGATGGGAAATATATCGAAGTTTAAAAGTTACCCTAGGGTCCATGTTGCTTCTCTCAGTGCATCTAACGATTTCGTTCGGGAAAGTGAAGTGG